GAGAATGTGAAATGTTGTGAATGTGGATTGGAAGAAGTAGCAAAAGAAAAATGTATAAATGGGAGTCTAATGAACTGGGTTGGGTGTACTATGTGTGAAAGATGGTGTCACGAGGTGTGTTTAAGGACTGTTTCAGAAGATTTTGTTCGTAAATTTTGTTTGTAATTAAAATTACTTAATAAAAAAATAAATTGCACTTTTTAGAATTGTTTATACTTTTACACTTTTTGCAAGGACAAAAATCCATAAATAGATGTTGCAAAATATCTCTCCTGCTGACAAGATTATACCAATTTACAATGACACAGCTCACGTTTGTATAAACATGAGCGGGCTAGATTTTTAAATTAATGCCGCCTGAGACGGGATTTTCCTCTCGCTAACAAGAGCGGGCGATGACAGTAGCACAGCAACGATGTTAGGATTTTTAAATAGATAGATCTAGATATCTAGATCTATCTATCTTCTTAGAATCTAGATAAAAAATAACAACATACAACACTCGTGTTAAAGGGTATGGCTAAATGCTTGTTTATTTAAAAAAAAAATAATAATTTAAATAAATAAAAATGGAAAAAAAAAAAAGAAAATAACTTTTTTCGCAAAAAGTGTCTCGCTATTTACCCTTAATTCCGCAGGTATGTCTCGCATTACCTTCTCGCATTTTCCCGCCTCGCCATTTCGCTTTTCGCGTCTCGCAATTTCCCCAGAATCTAGACAAGATCTAGATCTAGTTCTAGATCTAGTCTAGATCTAGATCTAGATTATATTTTAGGCCAAGATGACCTAATAATTAATGAGTCATAATACAGGTCAGAAAGTAGCTTAATCAAGATCTTGATCTCTTATATTGGGGGACTTATATTATAGACTCCAATTGGTCAATATAGAGACTAGATCTAGAAATCTAGATAGATTGATTTCGGATTGTAATCCCAGACCTAGATTCTAGATCTATAGAATAAGTTTTAAATAGCCTAGACTCCTCTAGACTCTAGATTCTAGATCTAATCTTACATCTCTAGATCTAGATTCTAGTCTAGATTTAGATCTATCTAGATCTACTGGTACTATCTAGTATCTAGACTAGATCTATAGAAGTATAGATCTAGATCTAGATCTAGAGACTCTAGGACAGGTAGATCTAGAATCTATACTTTTTTTAGTCTTAGTCTTTTTTAGTGACTTAGTCTCGTCTAGACTACTAGAATCTAGAGTGTAGATTAGTGTAGAATCTAGAATTCTAGATCTACTAGATCTAGATTCTAGACTAGAGTCTAGATCTAATCTAGATCTAGATCTAGAATCTAGAATTCTAGATCTAGATCTAGCTAGAATCTAGACTAGAAGCCTAACAAAATAAACAGTGTTAGTAGAAGCGCTAGATCAAGATACAGGGGTTATTATTCATGGTAGTTATGTTTAAAATTATATTAGTGTAGGGTACCCTATTAAAAAATAAATAAATGAAGACCTTTTCTTGACAGACGACGACCAACAAAGGTAGACTACTCTTGAGTATCAACAGTCATTTATTTTAAAGATGACCTCCCCTTCCAGTCCAATTATTTACGCAGCGCCCCAGTTTCCAACAATAATAATCCGGAGTTCGCTAGATCTACAACAAAAACAGCTGTTCTTGTTAGTGTAATGTGATGAGATTTACTAAAGTAAATGCTATTGCCGCGATAATCATCTTTAAGAATGTACGTAGACTAGAGTCTAGATTTATATTTTAGTCAATTGTTTTTAAAATGTCACATACATAGATTCTCTAGATCTAGAGAGATCTAGACTCTAGCTAGTAGCTAGACTAGTCTAGGTCTAGACTAGACCTAGATCTAGATCTAAGTCTGCTGTTAGTCACAGTTTCAGTCTATTGTTGTATTGATTCATTAGATTTTCATTTAGTTTAGATTTTAGAGATCATTTTATTTTTAAATTAAAATTAGTCCTAGAGATCTAGATGTTGATCTCTAGTCACTAGATTCTAAATTAAATCACTAATCACAAAAAATCTAAGTCTAAGCCCTAAGCCATCTCAGCAACTAAAATCTAAGAGTCAGACTGAGACTCTCAGTCTGCTTAACTACTAGATCTATAGAATCTAGATCTAGATCTAAATCTACATAAACATATAATATAGGGCCTATTAATAATATTTATTAAACTCTAGAATACTCTGGAGTCTTAGTTAGAGTCTAGAATTGAGTTTAGATTCAGTGGCGTCGGTAGTCACCCCCCCACAAGAAATAATAAAGTATACAATTTAAATATATATATGCCACATATGGCCATGTACATGTATGTGTAAAAACTTTAATCACTGCAGACGTAATGGTAACGATGTTTATAATACAGTTGGATGTAGCATTGTTTTCTCTAAAGTTAGCGCATTTACGTCATGGTGTCACCCCCTCCCCTTGTAATAATTGACGATTTCACTTAAAACTAAGACTATTGAACTTTAATTATAATTACTCATTAATGCAACTGGCAACAAGCATTTTTCTTCTGCACATTTTGCAATTTTTTGCCTTGGTGTCACTCCTCTAAATGGTGTCAACCGGTGCATTCTGCACCCCCCCCCCCCCGCCCCGCCCTCGCTATGCCCCTGGGCCTAGCTGTAACTACAAGAATCTCTAGCTACTCCTAGGCCCTAGCATTATAATACTATAGGCCTACTATATAAAAGATCTATAAAAATAAGCCATACTAGTCTCTATGATATCTGCTATATCATTCATGAGCACAAGTGCCCCTCAGTATTCACTAATGTCATTAGATTGAATGTAGACCTATAATCTAGATCTACATAACACATCACTTTAGAACTCAGTAGATTCTATTTTTAGCTTTTTTTTTTAAAAATAGAATCATAGAATTAAAAAGCAGGCTATCATAATAAATAATAATAAGTCTGGTTGATGGAAAAGTGGATCTGTTAATAAAAGATAGGCGTTGTTGAGGTTATATCCTTATAGTCTGGTTAGTTAAATTAAATAATACATTAAAGCTAGATAATATAGATCTACTTACTAAACTTGCTTCAACAAGCTAAAGGTTTTACTTTTTTGCATTATTGCCTTAGGATTTGTATTGCCTAAATTTACAAATTAAGTGTTCACTGAATAAGGCAAAGAAGGAATTATGCTCCAATATTACATAACATAGTTAGTGGGTTTTAAAATCTAGATCTACTGCTCCATAAAATAACTAGATCTAGGCCTAGATCTACAACCTAGGCTCATTTCATAGATCTCTAGATCCATTAAACTAAAATTAAAATTAAATTAACACCATGCTGCCATGCTTCAAAAGTTTAAGTGAGTTTGGTTTAATTTATAATAATATTATTTTATTTTGTTTATTAAGACAGAGATAAGTTCAAATTGTTGATAAATGCAACTACAAACTTATGATGATTTTTTTCACCATAACCTAGATTCTAGATTAGGTTACTGTGGATGGCAGAAAAAGCCATTAATTTCTCTAATCAGGCTTTGTCATATTGACCTTCCTTATCTCTTAATAAGACAGTTACATTGCTAATCTTGAAATTTCTTTCTTAACTAAGTCCACTAATTAGGTTAAACGTATATTAACTTGCTATCTTTTTTGCGACCAACTTATGGGTTACTTGCAAACTCATCAGTTTTATTACTGCTTCTCAAATCAAATACAGTAGACATTTTTTTCTCAAGCACTTATGCTGAAGTAGTACTTTGGTCTATAATCACGGCATATAAATCACAGTATTTTTAGAATTTTTCTAGTTTATTCAGTTACTTACAGGACCCTCAGATGATAACTAAGTTGGTGTGTAGCATGTCAGTTTGTTTATTTTGATCATTCTTTTTTTCAAGATAGACTAGATTCTAATTATAGAGGCTAAGCTCATAACTTTATTTGTATTTTATTTATTTTTATTTATAACTTTATTTGTATTTGAATACATTCATTTAAGATACATTGATTATAGATCTATGAGATATCTAAAGATTAAAAAATAATAATTAAAAATCATAGGCTTACCTGATTTCTTAATTGATTAGTTTTTAAATAAAAATAATTGTTTAGAGCTGAGCCTTACTTATATTAATCAAGTAAGATTAGGGCCTAAGGCCTAAGTGATTTGTTAGTGGCACAATATCATTGGGCAGGGCACTACTTAATGACAGGTTAATGGCCATACCTAGCCTAGCCTATGAGCCAGTGGACTGTTTACATGGGCAGACAAAAACAGTGACATGTTTTTTTTAATGGTGTGGTGGTCTGGTGTGCTTTATACTTCTTATTAGGAGCCTAGTGTTAGCATGTGTAGATTAACTGGCATTGGCCTAGGCTAACATTAAAGTTAGCTTAGTTAAAATCATTAGTGAAGGGGGGCTATATACTTTACTGTATAGTTTTGTATTGGCTTATTTGTATTGGCCTCCACTTTGTTTGAAACTACATATTTGATATAGATCTACACATTTGAAAACTAATGATCATTTATTTAGATTTTAAGGAAAACTGATTTTCTTTTTAAAATTAGGCCCTCCACTTTGTTTGAAACTATATATTTGAAATAGATCTACACATTTGAAAACTAATGATCGTTTATTTAGATTTTAAGGAAAACTGATATTCTTTTTAAAATTAGGCCTAATAGTAATTGAATAAGAAAAAGCTTTTTTTAATCAGATAATAATTTAAAATAATTTTATTCATTTGAATCAGAATATGTTAGTATTATTATATAAAGCTTTGTTTTGAAAAATGTGACTTAATCTAGTAGGCTAAATATTTTAAAAGTACTTCATTAAATTCTATACTAATATGTCTAAATATGTGTATGTGTTTACAAATATGTTTTGTTTTAACCTTGTGGTTTCTCCCATCCTTTCCTAACATATGAGCATGTCGTACAAAGATCATTATGAGACATATGTCGCCATGAGCTGTCACCACTTGCACTCCTCGTTAGGTTTTCACTGCTGTAACAACTTGATTGTTTTTGCTCCACAGAGCTGTACCCAGCTTCCATAAATCTGATCTAAAAAGTGTGAGCATTTCAAGTAAGGGAGGAGAATCTTTTCAAGAGAAGATAACTGTTTTCACTCAGTTGTGTTGAGCTTATTCACACCATGGCCACTAATGGTGTCAGTAATGGTGAAGTCAGTGAGGCGTACAAGCGGAGGAAGGCCGACGGAGTGGGTAAGGAGTTTGTTTATTTTGGCAGCCACGGTTGAGTGAATGCTTGTGGCAGTGCTGCTCCTTGCTGGCACCTCTGCGTCACTGTTCAGTTGCTTTAACGGGGGATGTTGTGGTCGAGTGGGAGAGCACATGGTTGCTAACATATATGTCTTGGGTTTGGTGCCCGAGTTAGTGTTGTGGATACCAGACCTGTATATGTGTGTATATATATATATATATATATATATATATATATATATATATATATATATATATATCAGTGTTAAAATGAGACAGACTCTACTTCACCTACCACCTGAAACCACCAGATCTGATAGGATTTTTTTACTTAAAAAATTGTGTCTCTTCAATCCCTAAGAAGCAAAATAACAATTTATTAAGTAACCTGTTTAATAAATGAACCCTAAGCTTGAGCCTTACTCCAGACAGCATTGTTGGCAATTGTTCTGTAGTTTGTTTGCTTCAAGGGAAAACAGGAATGACAAACATGGGACCATATACAGCAGGAAATATTTCCTTGTTGGTTGATAGCTTGCCACAAAGAAACATAGATCTTGTGCTATCAAACTTGATACACTTGTACAAGCATTTCTATGTCAAAATAAAACTTGTTATAATTCAGTCAGTGATTCATTGGAATCTCTGATCTCATCATCACTTCCTGTTTGTGGCAGATGAAGTAGAGTTCATCTGTTTCCCTGACCTCGGCAAATTAAGGGATAGTGTTGTCAGCACTATGCCTAGCCGCCTGGGGTAGTTGAATCAGTGTAGTAAAACATGCCTGTACTAGCGATCAGATTAATGGCACCTTGGTGTTCTCAGTTACAAGAATTTAACATCATGTTTACATTTTCGACATTACACTTGCAATATGTACACTATAATATCTAGAAAAAAAACTCACAACAAGTAAGTAGCCTATAGACATTCTTTGAGAAAGTGTTTTCTTGTAACATCAACTTGCTGCAAGTTTTTTTTTCTAGACATGTATAAGGTTCATTTTATTTTCCATCATTAGTGTTGTCTTTTTGTCTGATCTTTAAACCGCATTTACTTGGCGGAAGTTTTAGAACTTTTAGGGAACATTCCAGACTAATCTTTTATTTATTTCCCTGATTAAAAAATCCTGGTCTATAAGTGTTTGAACTGGAAGCTTCGGTGTCATGTTTACTTGGCCCTGAGGATTTATTCCCCATTTAGTTTAATCGCTGACCCGTGACGGTATTTATTGTATAGATTTTCCAAGGCTGCCTCGTTTATGTTTTTTTTTTTAGATTGAAATGAAGACCAAGGTATGTGTTTAACAGGTGGGCGAGGTTTTGGTAGGAGGGTTTAACAGGGGGAAGGGTGGGGGTGAAGTATTGATAGAATGGTTTAAAGGGGGGTGGGGGTGTAGTATTAATAGAAGATTATAATAGAGGTATTCATTAAACACAATGATACTCTTGAATCAGAGTCTTATTATTGAGTCTACATGGGGGTCTCTCTTATAGGGTTTTATCCAGCAAAAATTTGATTGACTTTTAAAACCTGATTTTTTTTTAAAAAACATATCTTTGTTGTAACAGTGACAATATGTAGACAAGAGTGGCTAGAAGAAATTTTATCAATTGTAAATGTTCAAGTTTGTTCAGATAATACATAGTTTTAACTTAAAGCTAAATAGCAAATTGGATGGGAGTGGCACCATCATTTGTTGTAGGGTTGTAACACATAGCTCAACTGTAGCACTACCATCACCACTTTTACATGGGTCATTATAGCACTACCATCACCATTTTTACATGGGTCAACTATAGCACTACCATCACCATTTTTACATGGGTCAACTGTAGCACTACCATCACCATTTTTACATGGGTCAACTGTAGCACTACCATCACCACTTTTACATGGGTCAACTGTAGCACTACCATCCCCACTTTTACATGGGTCAACTGTAGCACTACCATCACCATTTTTACATGGGTCAACTGTAGCACTACCATCACCACTTTTACATGGGTCAGCTGTAGCACTACCATCACCACTTTTACATGGGTCATCTTCCATCACCACTTCTAACATAGTTCATGGTTTAGGTTAACTTTTGCATGTCCACTTTTAAGATGCTGAATGTGGCATGCCATCCTAATGTAGTTGTAGAACTGCTACTACTACAGTGCTACTCATGTATCAATGACATCATGTGCTGTCCCCAGCAGGCCAAATATCCCCCACCTTCTCCCCCTCTAAGTCCAAGCTAGCACGGCACAGGAACACTGAACTGGATGAGAAGCTGTCCAAGGCGGGCGAGTCGCTGCAGTCCTCCATGTTCTCTGACGATGCTGTGCAGGTCAAGTTTGAGGTGCCCAGGTACCCCATACAGGAGAAGGAGAGCAGGGACTACTTTGAACGTCAGCTCTCGTCAAGGTACGTCTGGTTTGGGAGTTTATTGCTTCTTTTTTTTTTTAACCTGGTCTGCTGGTATTTACATGGCCTCTTCAAGTATTTTTGGCTGGTTAGAAATTGAGATTTGATTTAGAAATTTTTCTTAACCTTCACTGATTCAAGATTGGTATGGAAACTGATCATACTATTTCATTCTAGCTACTTGTCTGTCAGAAAACGCATATGAAATACATAGAACATAGAGTTCAGCCTAGCAAATTCTGTGTAAAATGAAACTTTTAGAACATGGAGTTAAGCCTAGCTAATTCTGTGTAATGAAACACATAGAACATACAGTAAAGTCTAATAATTCTGTGTAATGAAATCAGTGGCATAGCCAGGATCGTCTCAAGGGGGTTCCAATTTTTACCCGGGGACAAACTTTTGATTTGCACCCCCCCCCCTCAAACTTTGCACCCCCCACATACTTAATAAAAATACCGAGGGGTCTATGGGGGGGGTTATGACCCCCTCCCCTGCCTACGCCACTGAATGAAATACATAGAACCTACAGTAATATGTCTGTGTAATGAAATACTTAGAACATACAGTTAATCCTAGCAAATTCTGTGTAATGAAACATATAGAACATACAGTTAATCCTAGCTAATTCTGTGTAATGAAACACATAAAACATACAGTTAAGCCTAGCTAATTCTGTGTAATGAAACACATAAAACATACAGTTAAACCTAATAATTGTGTAGAATAAAACCCACACAACACCACACACTGTTCAATTGTTCACAGCAGGAGGCTTTCATTGATCCCTCAGATATTTTAGTGTCACATAACCCTGGTCTGCTAAAGCTACTGTGTCAGGCTGTAAACATATCTCTCTTCATTGAATGGCTTATCCATAATTTCACAGTGATGTAAAACTCTGGTTTATGGTACATGAATAAGAACAGGTTGTAATGTAGTACTGTTATAAAATAATATGCATATAATACATAAATACATATAACTGATGTATGAAAGAACAAGGGTTAGGTATAAATTTCATTGTTGGAAATGAGTTAACTACAGTTACAAAAAATTTCGCCTGAATACTATTTTAATACTAATTTTATTTTTTTTTCCCAACTTACATACTATGGATGGATAGCAGTGAGTTTAGTGAGACCTCATGGTAGGTCTGTATGACTTTGTATACAGTAGGTCAGTATGACCTTGTATATAGTAGGTCAATATGACTGTGTAGTCTCCAAAACATTTTTTTTACTACTTTCTCCGTCAAATATTCCTGAAGGATTTGTAAGTCTGTGTATCTCAGTTCCATTCCCCTCAAGACTTTACAACATTGTTGCAATAGAAAAAGTATATCTAGATGGAATCAAACACAACAAAACACATTTGTTAAGATTTCCCTGAGTTTTTAATTTTTGTGATCATTTTCAGCTAGTTTATTTAAACAAAGCTGCTTCTTTGAAAATATGTTGAACCAATTTTGTTTTTTAAATACATTTTTAAGGTGCTATCAAAACTTCAAGAAATAATATTCCCATAAAACACACTAAAAACAATTGTATTAATAAAATAGACTATTCGTTAATTATGTCTGATTGCTACTTTGTTGACTGATACCATCCAATGCATAGTTTGAAATGGATCTTATAAATAATGCAACAAGTACAAAAGATTAAATATGTATGCCATTCTAAGGTTGAAATTCTTGGAATATCAATAAATACTAAAAGAAATGGGTGTGGCAAACTTTTTTCTTTGGCCTATTGTTAAGATTTATCAGCTGTCAAAAAAGGTAATGTGCAAGCGGCCAGGTATTTTAACCATTGTAACTGGCAAGTGAAATTGGCCAGGTAGTAGAACTCTTGTAACTGGCAAGTAATACTGGTCAGTTAATAAAACTATTATACCTGGTAGTTGATAGTGATCAGACATAAGCACTATTCTAACGACAACAATCAGCTAATGTAGGCTACAACAAATTTGACCTCCCCCGGCGAAGAGTTCCATCCAACTCTCCTAAACCTGGTCACTAACCGCTGGCCACTGAAGACCTCTAGCTCCCACCCAGTCTTTGAATGGCCAATTTATTTTTGCAGACATCATGACATCAACATTGACAGTCAGAGCTCCAGGTAAATAGTGTGAGATTTTAACCATTGGTTCCTCTGTTTTGATTTATAATTTTCACAACTTTCTGTTCTACTTTCATTTTTATCAACTGTTTTTTTTTTTACTTTAAAAAAAAATTGTAATAGCTACTGAAATATTTTTTTTACATTTTCCAGAGTTTTTACATTATCTGTGTTAATAATATTTTTTATTACTGGTGTTTAATCCTTCTGATTTGAATCTAATTGTCAAAATTGGTTTGAAAATTATAAATCAAAATGATACTCCAGAGTGACCTTTGACCCCACCCAATGTTCCCTTACTAATCAATTGTGACTGTCATTTTTAACAAGATGGCCTACTAAGTATCTGACACAACAAGAGTGTATTCACATTTATTTTTTATTACTAATTGCTATTCTTTGTCTTGGGTAATAGATTCCAGAGTCTTATGGTAATAGACAATGTACATTTTTAAAAGTTCAGTATTAGTACATCACTGATTTCAGTCATCATAGTTGACTGTATGGGGTGGTGACTTAAGTCATCATAGTTGACTGTCTGGGGTGGTGGACTGACTCAAGTCATCATACTTGACTGTAGCTTTCATTAGGCTGGGTGTGGGTATATTGGTACAAATGTTGCCTATATTAGCTCAGTTGGCTATGAACTTGACACCATGTGTGGCTGTAGCTAGTGTCTAATTGTACCAGTGGTACAGTAGCTAGACAAGATCTCCTTTAATCTCAACTCTCAGTGACTCTCATCTCCATTGATTTAAATCTTCAACAACTCTGCTTCTACTCTACTCTATAACAATTGCTACCACCATTTGCAGTTTGTGAATTACCACGTTTTTGTTTACATTAGTATCAGAACTTAAAACCGACCAGATATAGCAGTTTGTGACTTAACCCAGATTTTTGTAGACAGGAACTTAAAACCAACCAGATATAGCAGTTTGTGACTTAACCCAGATTTTTGTAGACAGGAACTTAAAAACAACCAGACATAGCTTTCTGCTTGATTTACCTATGCCCAACAATACTGTGGTTTGATAATTGGTTTTTCCCCAAGATTTTCACAATATTGTTAAAAAATAATAACACTTATTAGATTATAACAAGTTGTAGATATAACAATTTACACCTGATGCTTCGAGCTAAACCAGTAACATGCATATTAAACACAAGTTAACTGTTTTACACCTTGCTATTGTTTAACTCTTTTAACATGAAAATTAAAGTGCAGAAAAGATCTAGACTTTCTGACCATCAAGGGTATTTAATATCTCAGATATAAATTATCTTTTACTGTATAACGTACCCTTAGGAGTTTTTATTTTAACTTGCATGATGCTGTGACCCATCTGCAAATCTGCAACTGAAAGACTGTTCTTTCACTTCCTACGGAGTTCTGAAATGTTTGAAGATAATAAAATAATGTGTGAGACACCTTGTCATAAGCATATTTGACACCACTTTCTTCTATAGGCTTTTTTGTGACCTAATTTTTTGGTGATCTATTTGGTGAGCCAACTATTTAATGACCTAATGTTAATTTAATGACCTAATTTTTTGATGATCTGATATAAAATTCCCTAAAATGAGGTCAATGTCCAAAGCATGCTTTCACCCAGCAGGGAAGGTTGTGGGTCCTTCATATGTATGTCTTGTATGGTCCTACTTGTACGGTCCTACATGTAAGTCCGGTGTGGGTCAAGTCATGAGTGGGTCCTTCATATGTATGTCATGTATGGTCCTACCTGTATGCCATGTATGGCTCCACATATATGTGATGTGGGGTACTTCTTGTATATGTCATTTGTGTGTCCTACATATATCTCATGTGGGGTCCTTCTTGTATATGTCATTTGTGTGTCCTACGTATATTTCATGTGAAGATCCTTCCAGTGTGTCATTATAGTATCACTGAGGCCACCATGGGAGGAATAGAAATAATAATTTCTTCACGAGGTTTGTTTGTGAAAGCAGGTGTCACATTTGTTGTGACATGCAGGTGTCACATTTATTGTGACATGCAGGTGTCACAGTTGTTGATGTTGTGACATGCAACTTTATTTCATGACATAAAATTATCCTCAACATATGTCAGTGTGGTTGATATCCTCTCATTATTTACACCAAGTTTTTTCACAAAAACTGGATTAGAAGAAAAAAATGTAATATCAATTTGAAAATTATTTGGTTTACGTTCCTTAGGTCATGCTAGCCTATGTTAAATATAGATCTAGTTGTTTTTTCTCTTCATGTCTTCCCCACAAGTTCGGTAACTCTGTTTAGTGTAACAGCACCTTTGTCTGCCGTGGCATCTGTTGGGTGATTTCCCTTGAGAGTTAGGCTAATCGGATCTAGGTTAAAAGGCTTGTTTGTTTACAAAGATTTACAGCTGTGTGTGGAGACTAGTTGGAATACCACCTAATTTTGCTATGGCAAACATATTACCGAATTCCGGATTCTTACGACACCCCCCCCCCAACCTTATAACATCGCCACCAAGATAGATCAAGATAGTACATAACAATTTAGGCCTAGTTAATGGGCCTAACATGCACTCTTCCTTTCACTACGTGACGTCATGGCGCGGTGAAGGGGCCGGTAACCCACATGTTTTCCTGTTAGAATTTGTAATCGCTCCTTTCTCTCGCTCCTCATTGTCCGTTCGCGAAATACACAATGATTTTTGTTTTAATCATTATTTTCGTAATCATTCGTCAATTATTTATTTTTAAAAGTTCAGAATTGCTTCTTCGAATGCTCCCCCCTCACAAAAATATGCGCAAACAGAAAAATAGCGCAACCAGAATTCTGCGCACACAGAAAAATGCGAGCACAGAAAAATGTTTGCGCTTTTTTTCTGCAAGCGCATTTTTCTTTGTGCGC